ACCCGTACGCGTTTCGGGGGGTGCAAGAAAAAAAATGGGTTACACACAAATACCTCTTTAAGGGATGAGCTAAGATAACTAAGATTGCCCAGTTTTTCTCTACAGGGTTAGTGGTTTTAGCTGGTTACCCCAAGGTTCTTTGCCCAATTTTTGTGGGGTAAAGGTGGGGTTTGTGAGTCTCCCCACCTCAAAGAAAACGATTTGGAGAGATTTTTTCCAGTCTACAGTGAACAAAGACGTAGTTAGGAACTATGTCCTATAATATTGCACATAGATATATATATATATATATAGCAGCGAGTGTATTGCAATGATGTTAATTATATTGATATGTATACATAGTGTTGGTGTGGAAGTTCTCAGTGCCCTTGTGGATTATCAGAAATCCTTTCAAAGGGACACAGACACATTGGATTAACCTATGGATTAACTTCTGCAGCGTTTTTATCGTTTTAATGCCATTGAAGACCACTTTTGATCAGACAACGACCAAGGTGAGCCATGTTGCTGATTTTTAGCATGCTTTGATGTCTGTTCTTTTTAATATCTTCCCAAGCTCTTATCATGGAGTGATGATGTATAGCTACGATAAGTAATAAGGGTGTTATGAGTGAGTTTATGTGCAACACGCACAACATAGGCTCAGTGCTAGCTTTGTGGGTTTAAAAAAAAAAAGATCAGTTAGCTGAGTTTCTTCTCGTTACATGGATATAAAACATTCATAGTTTATTGAATATTAAGATGCCCTCAGACGCTGTTTCCTGCAGATGACGCATTTTCCCCCCCGGTATCGGGGTTGCGGTGTAGAAGAGGTTAAGCACGTGTTTCCTACTCACCGTGTCGTTGTGCCTCGCCCCTGCTTCTATACTCTAGTGTGTCATTCCCGATGTCCTCGGATAATTTACAGTTTATTACACCTCCGCCGCAATTTATTGAGCTTTTTGTGTGATAGGTCCGTCAGTAATGGAGACACGTCATTACGCATTTAGCAGGATAGTAGGTCAACCTAACACAATTCACTTATCCTGATTGCAAAAGTATTTGTTACTATTATGAAGACAGAAACCCCTTTACAGGAAATAGTTCACTAAAAAGGGACGCAACTTCTGTGACCACTTTTATACAATAATTTAAGCCTAGGCCTACACTATGCGGAATCTACTTTAATTAATGTATTCATATTCAAAGGAATGGTTCAGCATACAAAACATCTGTCTGTCACAGAATTGTTGGGTTCGAGAAAGAAAATGCACTGGAAATAATCATAACGTTTTGTTGACCGGCAGCCTTCGACCTCACATGTTATCAGGCTATCAATGACATCAGATTTAGCATCAGCATGAGGCCTGCAGTTTAGAACAATTTCAAACTATGAGCTAAAAGCTGTGTATGATTTTACAGCCATCTAGTGGCCATTTATAGTTATTACACATGGAAAGAGATAAGATAAGATAAGATAAGATAGGACTTTATTCATCCTGAAAGAAATTGTTGTGCCAGAGTTACAAAAATACAATAAACACAGCAGCACAATAATAATAAAACTGTATTTATATTGCACATATTAACACCTTATCCTGCATCCATTGTACATATACAGTGATAGAATGAAACAAATTACATTTAGAGTACTCAATAATTGTACAAACTTGAGGTAATTGTCGTTACTTAACTGGAGTTTTTCCATGTTTCCAATTTGGTATCTCAAAGGCAAGGACATGGGAGGTACAAGGAGGCAGAGCAGGTACATTAAGGGATCCAGGAACAAGAACAAGTTGAAGCATACAGAGTTTCCGGCAAAGAGGCTTGAAAGACAAGTCATGAAGCAACAATGCCAATCTGGCAAGAGCAAGAGAGAGAGGGGCTGGTATAAATACTGTTGGGGTAATTGGGGAAAGAGGAATTGGTAGGAAGGATACAGGAGTCAGGTGACTGAGTCATGTGACTGAGACCATTGGTTCTGAGGGCATCTGGTGGATGGATGGAAAATGGCAGGTCTGCAGAGTTCAGGAAACATATTGGCCTGTGGGTCCTGAGAAGTGGCTAAATATAGGGACAGAGATGTCAAATAGGGCAGAATAAACACCAATAAGGTAGACGTGACGGATCCTATAGAATATGATGCATTGCTGTTTAATCATTAGCCTGTTAAGCACTGAGCCTGTTGTTCAGGTCTCAGGCTCGAAAATGACATTTCCAGAACAAATGACCATAACTACACTTCTAAAAGGGGAAAATTAATAATCTTTTTTCTCAAAGTAATGATGAAACTGTGAATTGGATGTAGAAAAGTCAGAATCAATATAGATGTTTTTTATTTTAAAGAAAATTCAGATTGAACATAGTAAAAAACTGTAAATTATAGTGTCCGTCCAAAAAATATTTTTTACTTATAGTGAAAACTACCCTTGGATTAGGGCTGAACGATATATTGTGTCATGGCGATAACCGCGATATGTGCATGCGCGATATTCACATCGCAGGGACGTGCGATTTTATTAATTTTTTATTTTATTTTTTTAGGACGTGCGATATTAATTAGGTAAATTAACTCAAACACGTCATGTTACAATTATTTTTGCTGCTTGCTACAAAAGGAAAACTTGTACGTCATAATACCGGACACGTAAACACTCCCGCAAAGTTTGTTTGCCCTGTTCTGCTTGAAAGCAAGTACCTGCGCTCTTGCAAACTGTTAAAACAAACGCTTCAACTTGAACAATTTTGAATCTGTGGTTTTGATTATGGATCTTAAGTTGCGTGACGTTGAAGCAGCGACCCTGCTGTAGTTCGTTTATAGCATTACATTAGCATTTTGCTTCTGGCGACTAGATTTATGATTCGAAAATTATAAAAGTATGGTAGACATGTGGATATTATCCGGCTGAACAAAACGTGATCCATCTCTTAAATGTGTGTCAACCACAGACCTTATTTCGAGCTATTTTCCAAAATCCTATGGAGAAATTGCATTGGTTTTTGACGAAGGAACCGGAAGGAGTTTACTTCCGGGTTTTAGGAAACGTCACTGCGGTTCTCTATTGAAATAAGAGATAAAGTGATTAATTTGGTCAAAAGTCACACTGTTGCCTCGACAACAACACTAAAAATAATCCCTGATGCCGCCTCTCACTCTTATCTATTTAATTGTACATAATAATAAAAGATTAGGCAAAAATAACAAGCAGCCCTTTATTTGGTATGACATTCAAATAAATATGCAGTAACCTTCAGTGAGCCTTGTGAGGAGATGTTTACTCTTCCCTGTTTGTCCATATGGCAGTTGAAGGTGTAATATGCTCCTACCTATATATCATTTCCCTCTTTTCATCAAACACTAAAATACTGGACTTCTGCTAAATGACAAGAAGAAGATAGAAAGCACACACAGATACAGATACATCAAAATATATTTTATCAGTCTGACTCACGTGGTTCAGACTCACAATACAAGCAATATTACTTATTATGTCAACAATCATGCAAAAATAAATTTAGAGTAAGTTTACCCCACCTTAGCCAAAGTAGCCACTATTTCCGGCTGCCTGCAAGTGCGGTTGTTGAGGAAATAAAAAAACGTTGGAGTAAAAATTAGCCGTTGTCATTGAAGGGTTTATGCAATACCTACATTATCAGTATAATCATGTGTTTTCTTTTCAGATTAACAAAAAGTTAAACAAAAGGTGGATTGAAACAGTTTAATCAGCACATAAACATGAAAAAGAAATGTTCCTACCATAATTTCCCCATAATGTTTGTAATACAGCATTGTCATTCTCTAGATGTATGTATCTGAATAAAGGAGGAGCCTTTCAGGATTGCTTCCTCTCTGGCACTGAAATAACTTTATATTTTCCCTATTGTATTTATTTGAATAATAGTGCAAATGAACTGAACTAATGAGTTCGAAAGCAACAGATGCACAAGTATCAAATGTTAAAACGCAGATGATACAGATATTACAACAAAGATGTTTCATAAGTGTGTGAAAAAATTGCTTATTTTTCCTTTAGTATTAGTAATGAGTCAATAAGACTATTAATTGACTGGAGCGATTGTGTTTTGTTTCTTTAAAGGATGGATATTAATAATAATAAATAATAATTCTGTAAACATTATTGAACTTTTGTGCTGAGTATAAACCGTGTTACTTGTGTCAGTGACTTGGAATAACACTGACTCAGATCACTGGAAACAACGCTGTAGCATTCATAAGCAACACAACAGTCATATTTTTATGAATAGGAATAATACATTGGAGCATTTGTTATAAAGCACAGTGTCCACACATTGAGCAAGACATGTTAAAGTCACTGCAAATTGTAACTTTTTTTTGTATGAGACGCTTTTGAATCTGACTCTGCCTCTTTTCTGTCGTTTTTTTTTACCAGCATTACGTAAGAGCCTCACATTTTCATTTCACCACAGTCTTGCTGCCAATACAAAATCTGAGAGGTGCACATTCCCTAAAGCAACTACTATCACAAGACAATAATTGAATATACAAACATACAAACCCTTTTTACTATTTTACGTCTTTAAAACCTAAAGTCATTGTGCTAGTCTCCTTCCTAAATTGTTATGCTGTTGCAGTGTTTGTGTGATATTTGAACAGAAAATAAACAGCAACTAGATTTTAGTTTTCTCCTATTCCCACGTGGAAATATCAGTTGAATAAAATGATCTAATTTGAAATGCAATTTTCCCTTCAGTCTCAAGCATATAATCCATGAAGTGGTCACATAGTCAGTTTGTGATTGGCCCTGAACTCCTGTAAATATATATTTAAACCCTTTTTGTGGGATCTAATGAAAACATGCTTCTACCCATGCTGTCCCTTGGGGTGCCCCAGCCTCTGCCAACGTCTGAAAACACAGCACATTGCATACCAGAGCTGGGTCATATTGTTTCATTTTGAGATCCAACCCTTATTACTCCAAACAAAGAATCACAATAAATAATATAACTTCAGAGGAAAAACATTACACAGTCCAGCAAAGTCCAGCTGATCAAGGCAGCAGCTCCACTGCCTCAAAGACTTCTGATGAGAAGTTTAAGCTAACAAAAACATTGTTCTCCATCGCCTCAACACTGTCTTCTAAGCAGACACTGTCATGGTTGATAAGACTGCTTTCAGATGTGGGACTGATGACAATTATGCGAGGGACACCCTGAGGCAATCTAGGATCATTGGTTGGTATTTTTCCAAAATGAGAATCGAAGGAGTCGCTCTTGTGGTGATCCCTGATGCTGCCTTTCTTCTCGCTTGAGTCTGAAATCTCATCAGATAAACTCTGACTGCGTTTCCTTGTGAGGACCAGTAGGGGGAGGGTTGCGATGGTGAGAGAACTGCAAACCAGCTCATGGTCACAGTATGTTTCATTCATGGTAGATGGGTGCTGGCAATGAGAAAAAAATACAAGTTTCATCAATGAGATAAAATACGTTTAAGATAAAGTTACTATTTTTTTGCTGTGTTTTCTCACCTTCTCTGCTACTTGGGTTTTGGTTGTATTTCGCTGTAACTGTTTCTTATATTTCCTGTTTCTGGAAGGCTGTCTGTACGATGGCATGCTTCTGAGGGAAGCACCGGACTTCCTTCCCAACGGCTCCATCTCAACATCCCTTAATACCTGCAGGACAAAACAGAACTAATGTGAGCTGAATTGGACAACAATTTATTAAATCAAGATGAAATCAATTCAAATCAGCATGTGATTTAAAGGTCCCATGTCATGCTTTTCCGGTTATTACCCGTCCCCTTGTGTGTTATGTAGCTTTTTATGCATGTAAACGGTCTGCAAAGGGACAAACCCTCAAAGTACACCCTGTAGCGAGTAAAACTCTAACACAGAAAAGACCTGTCCATGCTGCCCCAGAACGCCTCGTTGGAGATTTCTCTTTTTCCATTTTTCTCTTCCTGAGTATAGTGACGTAACGATACCCAGGTCCAAATGGACCAATCCGATTTGATTTTGGAACATTGAACAATGTAAATCTATTCTAGTAGACCACAAAAATGGACTCTATAAACACTATACATTTGAAAAGAAACTGAAGTAACATAATCATAAACAAGGTTTCTATGGTTTTGAGGCCAAAATTATCTTAATCCCAGTGTTTTACCTTGAATTGAATTAAATTTCAAGCATTGGCCTGCAAAGTGAACGATGCATGACAAAAGATTCTGTCACGTAACAGTCCTGGTGGAAGATATGAATATCAACTTTTTATTTAACTTTCAGGTGTGCATTCATAAAGTAGGAACATGATACAAATTATAACATTCAATTTGATAATTTTGACCAAATTGAATAAAAAGGCACATAGGAATGAATAAAAAAAATACCTAAATCTTTAATGTATCAATTTAAAGCCTTAAGATTACATGTGTGTTTCTTCACAGATTAGTGTTAAAAGAATGTTAAAGTCAAGAATAAAGGAGACTTAACACAACTGAATTTGAATAGTTCCTTCTGATCAGTGATAGCCCATACAAGCCATGTTATGTAACAACAAAATGTTGGTTAAAAAAGGATTACCATGTCATGGGAAGCTGTGAAGAAGTGAGTCCTTGAGGCTGTGGACTGTCTGCTAATGATGGAGTCCCTGAGAGAGGACTCGCTGATGGAGGAGGACATGCATTCCTTTCGAGGAGTGGGGGACAGAAACCTCAGACAGGGAATCTTTTCTGCCAGAGTCATCCTTTTAAAGTACAGAGCAACAGAAAAAGCTTTAAGTTTAATGTGATGAACTATGAGTCCCAATTGATGACATCATACATGTTCAGAGACAGTTTAGGTTAAAAAAGTATATATTTACCTGTATTTGTTGTGTATAATAGCATAGATGAATGGATTGTAGATGGTGGAGGCTTTTGCTATGATTGCAGGGACGGCCTTGGAGTATGGCGACAGGATTTTCGAATGACTGAAAGAGACAGAACAACAGTAATTTGAAAAAAAAATATCTTGTAGCCTAGTTCTTTGTTTTTTCTAGCGTGACAACAGCAGCAAAACTTTATTTTTTTATTTGTTGTAATTTAATGAAGAGTTGTACTGGGTCAGGGATTAGCCTAAATGTGCCAGCTGCCACAAAGGGGGTGTGTGTGTGTGTGTGTGTGTGTGTGTGTGTGTGTGTGTGTGTGTGTGTGTGTGTGTGTGTGTGTGTGTGTGTGTGTGTGTGTGTGTGTGTGTTCCCCAGTGATAGAGCAAAATGTGAATGAAATAAATAAAAGTATGCGATTTCTAAGTTACATAACTACTATACACCTCATCCTACTGTGTGTCCCAGGAGGGACATGGGGTTTAGTGAATTCTGTGATAAGCTGAGAACGTATGAGCAGCTTCGCCTTCTGTTGTATGTCACTGATCCAGGGCACAACCTTATATAATGATACATCAACGCCATTTGGGGGAGATTTATATCCAAATGCCCAACACACTATCTACACTCCTAAGTGTAGCATGACTGCCATGTCTGCTGAATGTTTTTTTATTTTTCAAAATGGTTGGAATAAAAATATGTGTCCACAAGCATTTTTAAAAGCGAAGGCAGATGGAAATATGATTAGATACAAAATGTCTACTTATATGGATGTTACAGTTAAGTATGCAACTTTTACATTAAAGAAATTGAAAATAAATGTCTGCATTGAATCTAGGATCAAAGAAACCAATGCTCAATGTACAAGTGTCTTTAAATATACACAGTAGTTCATTCATTAAAGATTTAGGCATATTTTGACCCTAGTAGAAATGTGGAAATCCATTTAAACTTCCAATGATGTCCTGGTAAACCAGCACATCCTTCATGTAGCCCTGCAGAAACTTGAAGCTAAATCATGTAGGCTGTATATCCAACTACATGTGCTGCCTTTGTAACTCCACAGCAGATTGTTGTTTCAAAAATATTATCCCAAAATGTACAAGCACACTCAAACCATTGCAGCACAAAACGAATCATGTATGAAAGAAGTCTTACCCTGCCCAGGAAATCATTGTGACACAGGCGTACGGTGACCAGGAGAGGACATAAACCACAATGACGACAAAGGCGATCTTTGCCAGCTTCCACTCACTCCTGATGGACCTCTGCTTGATCAGGGTGGACTTCCTCACCTGGGTCCCCAGACGCTCTACCTCCCTGTGGGTGGAGTAGGGTGGTACAGTTAGAGAAAGTGAGACCAGAAAACAAAATGCAGGTAATGCATGTCCTGCTGAACAATTAGGATATGATCTTTAACAAGACCAATCTCTGCCCAAAAATAAGTTATTAAAGCTGAAAGACAAACCAAAAGAAGCATTCATATTTATAAGAATTCACTTCTGGTCAAAGTAGGTGGGGGTTTATAAAGATATACCGTAATTTTCGGACTATAAGCCGCGCCTTTTTCCCCATTTTTCGACGCTGCGGCTTATATAACGGTGCGGCTAATCTATGGATTTTTACAGCTAACGGCCACCACCTTTAACTCTATGGGCTCTATGGCCGGTCCGCGGACCTCCACCTTTAAGCGGCGGCTTCCAGCAGGAAAAGCTGGAGGCCGGAAAAGAGTGAGACAGGTAGCGCGCAAAAGTAAAAGTGGAACCGAGAGTGGTATGCCGCTGCTGCGGTTTATAGTCAGGTGCGCCTTATAGTCCGAAAATTACGGTATATATATTATGCGTACTCATATGTGTGCACATGAATTATACACCTTAACCTTTCATATTTTTGTTTTACACAGATAATCTGCCTGTGTTGTATAGCCCATCATTATGTATCACCTATCAAGCTAACTACTACAGTATTTACCACATACAAATTCACCTAACGTGCCATTGTACACCAGCTTTTTAAACACACATTCCTTCTGACATAAGGTACTGATAAAAACTGTTGGAATTATTTAAGTGTGGTATCTTTTCATTTTGGAGTGTTATGAAAATAATTTATATTGCATGTACTGTATCTCCACCTACATAAACTCAAAAAACACAACATACACACTCCTGCTGATATAAGAGTTACAGTACCTGCCAGTCTGCCGTACAGCCAGAAACATGAAGATATAACAGTAAAGGATGATTCCCAGTGGAATAAAGAAAACAAAACAGCATAACATCATCGTGTAGCTCCTATTTGCCATTGTGTATGTAACATAATCCCATGTGCAAGATGTCATCAGGCCCTCAGGGATATAGGAGCCTAAAAGTGATAAAGAACATCATCATTTCATTTAAGATATCACATAAAACATCAGCAGTTCTGAGTTTTCTTTCACATAAGACTTGTACTTGTTTTGATGTCTGTGAAAGTGTAGATTAAGATCACAGCAAGCCCTATGTCAGTTTTTCTTCAGTGAAGGTCATTTGCTGGTTTCTCTCAGATTATCACAGAGCAAGTACAAGAACTTGATAGAAATAGACATTGAGGTAGCTCAACTTACTCCATCCAACAAGAGGAGCCAGACTCCAAGCCAAAGAGTAAAGCCAGACCATGAGGATGGCCACCGTGGTTCTTCGTTTGGAACTGAGGTTAATGGCCTGCAGAGGCTTAGTGATCACCAGGTAGCGGTCAATTGAGATGGCCAGTAGGTTTATCATGGAAGTAATGCCAAACAGGGCTCCACAGAAGGCATACATCTTACAGCCTGCAGAGAAGAAACACATACAGACATGTGAATTACTAAACAACAACAAGTGGTCTGAAGATGTTAGGAAAAAAAAGAAAAAGAGCATTACCCATCTCTCCAAACACCCATTCCTTGTAGAGACAGTTGATAAAGAAGACCGGGGACTGTGTGAAAGCCATGAGGAAGTCACTGATGGCCTGGTTCATGATAAAGTAGTTCGGCAGGTTACGAAGCTTCTTGTTACTACACACACAAACACACACACAAACGTGATATGTATAAATTACTGTCAAAACAAGACTTTAAAAACACAACTGTTAGTATCATAAATATGTTCCATGTTATTTTACAAGCTGGGCTTTAGCCTTCACTCAGACTTACATTTTGAATCCCACATCATGAAGGAACAGCTGTTCACATCCAAATATGTTCCTGTGTTATCGAATGTGTATTGTATTACAAGTAGGTTGGACCACTGTGATGCTCTTTTCACAGGTTTTCTAAAACAAGTAATTTATAACCCTTTAATTAATTTAGAACAAATTTTTTTTTGGATTGGTTTCAAAGCTATTTTACTTGTTTACTTGGCTATTATTGACTCACTGGTTTAGGACTGGACTACAATTATAACTCTTTGTCATTTTATAATACTTCACAACCTATGAGACATTCTGCTGTCGTTCTTTGAAATATAAACTATCACACACAAATATATCTTTTTGCAAGAAAACAATTTCATTTCCATCCGGACATTTGAGAAAGAAAATAGAAAAAATATGTAGACAGCATTGCCTTTAACACTTTGTTTATTCTTGCTTTTAACATATTCTATTGTTCTTATATATTATTATAACCAATTATCTTTGCTGAACTGGTCAACTCTGTGAGAACCTGCATTAGACAGCAACTTGATTAGGCAGTGTATTGACCTGCTGTCTACCTCCACTGACGTTTTATTGATTCAACTCGGTTTCTGGGTCCACTGACTCAAAAGTGGCTTCTCTCTCATCAAACAGCAAACAATCCGGTTTTGTATGCAAGGTCACCCTGTGAATACGTGACATCTTTGGGTCTGCTTTTGAACATTTGTATGTGTATCACACTATTAATCTGTTTTCATATCACTGCAGATCTCTCTATGTGTTCTAAGGGTTTGCGCATGCATATGCATATTACTAGAGAATATATTTCCTAGAAAATCACTATATCGAGTGACATAACACTTGAAAGACAATTATCTCCCTCTGTGGTTGTGTGTGTGTGTGTGTGTGTGTGTGTGTGTGTGTGTGTGTGTGTGTGTGTGTGTGTGTGTGTGTGTGTGTTTACATATTATACGCATGCATGTGTACTTGTGTATAGTATGTATTTGTGTATAATATCACACAGAGCACACATACAGATGTTTCATAGGATTACTGTTGCCGGGTTCTGCTGGGTGACCTAATCACAGTTATTATGTTTGCAGTATGTCAGCACAGCAGGGAAACATACAACAGGACATCTAGTGCTACTTTAACCTCAGGATTTGTTTTGTATATACAGTAAATCCTTATTTATGACCCTAGCTATATCAAAAATGTCAAATAAATTTATTTTGTAAACTAATAAAGTTGCAAATAAAAAAAGTTATAATAAAAGAACAGTATATTGCAAACTTCCAAAAGATTTTAAACATGGATTTTTTAAGAGGTCTTTTGATTACACAAACAAGGTCAAATGTGATGTTGATTTGCCTTACACTGACTGTGGCTGCAAGGCCACTCTTCATGTTAATGCAGTGTGTGCAACACATGTGAGTGACAGAGGGATTTGAAAAAGGGGCAAGTCCTCCTCCTCATCCAACTCTGTCTGCACGAGATGACGCCGCGAGTAACATTTTACTTGAAAAGCAAATTAGACAAATGAGAAATTAGGTTGCTTTAAATGTAATATTTAAAGAGAAAATATTTACAAGAGATTTCATTGATGTGTACATTTCTTAATTAAAAAATAGCGTTCAACACAACATGCTTTGACTTAAAATGACACAATTTAAAGGTCAATAGCATCTAATCATATTTTGTTTGTTTGTGGAAATAGTAGGCCTGTTGAAGAGGACATAACAAACTGTTGACAGCTGTTGTACTTGTTATACTTTTTCCGAATGGAAAGCAACATTTGAAAAGTATAGTAAATATCCTTTGAGATTTATTGCCTGCTTTCCAATTGGAAAGCTTTGATTTTTGTCTTTTCCATGTTTCTATTGACTGGGGTAAAGGTTTTCTGATGTGTTTTCCTTTACTCTGATATTCAACTGTAGTTTGTCTGGTTATACTGCATGCCCACGTCTCTCATCTCAGCTCTCCATCTATCGTCCTCTCTGTTTACCCCAACACACCATCTGGATGAATGACCTTGTCTCAATGGAAAAACACATCAGTGGTGTGGGATTCATAAACTTTGACCTGGACAAAGGATGTCGGTGTTCCACATGTCCATGAGTCAATGAGTATTGAACCAGCTGGTTGTGTTGGTGCTTCAATCCTGGGTTTGAATCCCCTGTTCTAGCTGGCATTTGGCCTGCAGTGGAAAATATATTATTGAGTGGTACTGCGCTGTGACTAGAACTGCAACCTCGGGCACATAAGTCAGCTGGAGATCAATACTTCACTACATAGAGGCATATCAGTTCAGTCAGACAACTCACGTGTTTCTTTAACATGTTTATTAGAAGCAGCATATAGTTGAGTTTGGCGTCTAGGCTCGGGCCTCATCACTCCATAGATATACATAGCACGATGAGTGATGATTAAATAACTAACCCCCAGAGCCTACAGGTGGAAGCTGGGGTGGAAGCTGGGATGGAAGCTGGGGTGGTGGTGGGGCAGGCAAGCAGCAGCGACGTAGAAGTAGCTGCAGAAAAGCAGCAGCAAGCAATGCATGGAGAGAGATCTGGCAGGTTAAATAGAGCGGCATATTAAGGAAACTCCATTTGGTTGGTTGTAGAGTGGCAAGGGGCGTTATGTATGAATGCAGCATAAGTGCTCGAGTTGACTGCCTGAAATAGCTCGCAGGCTTCGCCCCATTTATAGACAAAGCACCAGCATGATTATCAGGTGTTGATGTATTAAGTCAGTGCAGTAGATTTATACTTTTATAAAGTTCTCTGCAGAGGCGACAACTTCCAATAATATGTTACTTGGCCCATCCCCTGAAATGGAAATGTAGACAGAGTGACGAAATACTCTGTTTCAAGTAAAAGCCCTGCATATAAAATTGTATCTAAGCAGAGAACAAAAGTATTGGCATCACAATGTGGAAAAAAAGTACTAATTTTTCAAAACGGTAAAAAACTGTATTATATAATTGAATTAGAAATAGTGATGCATTAATGTGTTGAATGTTGGACTTGGCATTTATACAGCGCCTTCGAAGTCTTCCAAGCCCTCAAAGCGCTTTAAAAAATGCCAACATTAAACCATTCGCACACACACAACCCTCTCTGAGCCACAGTCACTGGCAGAGGAAGAGCTTAATTGATTTACTACTGTAAGCTAAATTATACGTGAGAACTTATTTGTTGGTTTTTGCAATATCAATCTGATTTGTCAAAGTCTCTTAAATCGACAGAAAAATTTAGTGAGGTTAAAAGTTTCAATATTTCTGATATTGGAGTGGAGTAGAAATATAAAGCTTAATTATTTCTGCTGATGATCATTCTTCTGATCTGACTTATTTAGGAGCGGTTAAACCTTTTTTTTATTTCTGTCATGTTTGCTGTCTCACTGCTCAAGATAATTGTATGAATCTTTCGAAAGATGTATAAATATTAGATATAGGTTATCAAATGGAAAGATCCTCAACATTCACATGTGTTTTTGTTGCTGTTTATTTGAATTGTGGGCGATATATATATATAACATTTGAATCCTTCGCCTGTTTAAGTAAAGTAGACTCTGCCCCTGCTCCTCTGGTTATGGCACAGCTGTCAGGAGGTGCTGCAGCATGTGGAGCTGAGAAATGTGAGTCAAGCAGGACATGATGAATATTGAGCTTTAAATCTCACATGTAATGCATGCCTTAAGCCTCTTTAGTATCTGCCTAGGTTTTTGTTCATCAACATACAGGGAATCTAGGTTATAGATCAAACGATGTGGAATAAGCAGTTCATAACACGCTCTGGGTAAGTGGAATGAATTTCTGTCAATAACAACCAACCTCTCTCTATCAATCCATTTCTTTCTCTCTCTGAAATTAAAGGGATAACATTAATTTGATGAGTTTTTCTTTTAATATGTGAAGTGATGGATTTTTTTTATCATCAGAGAGACATACAATACAAAGAAAAGTCTGGTGAAAAAAATTAAGGTTGATAACCCATTTACTAAACTTAACATACAGGGCAAGTCTTTAATCATGCAGGGGTTTACCGTGTAAATCATGCACATATATATGGGAGCAAGAGTGTGACGTGCTTGTTGTTAAACAATATCATTGTTCTGTAGCAGAGTATATATTTCAAAAGAGCCAGAGGGATAACGCACCAGAATGACTGACCTTTTCTTATGTAATCATACATTTCTTTATAAAAACTTGAATGCATTTAGTTGAAAGCGTTGAAATGTTTTAAATGTCAGTTAATGTCCCTAAAGGTGCCCCATTTCCTCTCTTTGCAGAAGTCCGCGTGTTTTATTATGTATTAAATAGGACTGAACACACACCATAAAAGGTGTGGACATGACTGCATGAAACAAAATAAACATCTATAAATGATGTCTATGGCGAGGGAAATTATTTTGTGTTCATGCTTGTGGTTTGAGTTAATGATATAATGTCTGCAAAAGTGTGTATTTTTAAAGGGAGATAGTCAAAAAAAAAATTGTGATTAATACAAAGCATTATACAGAGCCCAATAGATTGCAGGAAAACATGGTCTTTTCCCATGATGTTCACGACAGCACCAGTATCATCAGGAAACATATCCCGAGGAGAAGCACAGGTTTTTCTTTAGCCATTCCTGCATTTGCTTCTGTAGCCAATCCCAGACTCTCTGGTTTCCCTGAGAAGCAGAAGATAAGGGCAAATCATCACTAAAGTTTTTCTCTTTGAATTTATTTCTGATGTTTCCGCCTGCTCTACCTACCTCTTTTCAGAACGGCGGACCTCACATTTACCCAGAAGACTGCGCGCTGCTGAGCTACTGTGGCCCTGAAGAAAACACAGAGTATGAGAGCAGAAGTGTTTTGTTTTTGTGATTGAAAAATGTGAGGAAAAATGTGTTTGTTTTACATGAAGTAGACAGGGCTCGTAGAGTCAGGAGGTATCCAGCTGTATGCAGTGGATTCGCCCTTCAGGTTGGTGTTTGCATGAGTAATAGCACCTTGTGGATTCCCTGTGCACTGTTAATATAAAACACAAAATCACATCATGAAATCTCTCAGACATAAGAATGTAAAACAATATATTTTCTACAAGACTGGATTTAGCAAAGAGATCTCTCCTATTTCCTCTGTGTCGGATGGTTTGAGAGTTTAGCTACTTGAAACTTGCCTGAAGAAACTTTGTGTCTGGAGCAGGGTGCTGCCAGCTCCCCAGAGCATTAGTGCTGCCGTCTGTCCGAGCTTCCAGAAGCACACCACGATACTCTGGTCCACTGATAGTCACTGCAGGAGTACACAGATACAGCTGAGCCGGTATATAGAGTCATATTTATATTTACTCTTCATTTTCACTTGCTTTATAAAAGTATGGCTTTTAAAATAACAGATGAAGAGGATATATTCCTCATTTATTGATGTATACATCCAGTAAACCAAAATTACTTGCAAACCAGCAGAGGAGTAAGAAGTTCACAATGCTGCAAGATATGAGAGGGAAATGCCATATGCTTTAGGTTGTTTAATACTGAAATAATGTCTGACAACAAGTTCACAGATATTAAAGTGTTCTCAGTCTCCCTTTTCCCTTGCTTCTTTCTGTATACTGGTAAACTACAACAAACAGTTTTTTTGAAAAGAATCAACGGAAATTACATCCAACAAGAATTTCTAATAATACTCAACACAATTAAGTGGGTATGAGTAAAATAACCTTATCCAAGTTTGTTTGTGACTTCCATCAAATACCAATAATTTTTAGCCTGACATAACAGACGCATACACATAAAAAGTCCCTTTGTTCAAAACTTTTTCTCACATCAGCTTTATAATGGCTCAAACAATAGTATCCCTTGGTTGCTCTGTAAGAATTTGAATCACCGCGTGAACACAGATTTGAGTTCTTGAATGAAGTGTGTTCCTTGTCCCAGATTAACACAAACAAAGCTTTTGTAACAAAGCTCCAATAAAAGTTGTTCTTGCTATCCACACTTGAAAAAGAAATCCATTATCATCTGTATAAAATAGCAATTTCTTTATAAATGTTCTCCTCCATGACTCACAGCTTTCTGTCATGGATTATTAATAGTTTGTAATGTTTGTGTGAGGTTTTTCTTCTTATTTCTAAGAGTGATCATAGATATCTTACCAGTAATGGCCTTGCCCTGCTGAAAGGTCCCAGTGTTGACCAGCAGAGTGTAGGGCGCTGGGGACGGCTGCGGCAGAACACCAGTGTGGCGAGGCGTCATGTCTTCACAGGCGCCAGTAGGAGCCCCATTGGGATATCCAGTAGCCAAACAGAGCATCTGAAGCATAACTAACCCAGGCAATGACAGCTCCATCAGGCTGAATGAAAAGCAACCACACTTTGAGCTGCAATTCTAAAATAGCAGTATATGATGAGGATGAAACGCACAATGTGAGCCAAGAGATGGACTAATATGAAGTACTGGTGCTGAGTCACACAAGCAGAACATTCTAATTTTCTTCAGCAATTCCTTTTCCAACCATGTAATGTGCTTCTTACGTGAATGCTCTCGTGATTTATTGAAACAAAGCATGATTATTCTCCAGTGAAAACTAAATGGTTTAATTTTTTTTTTTCTCATAATCAAAGGAAAGTTAGAAAACATTTTTCAAGAAAAGCACATGACGCATATACTCTTTAACACCACAGTCTTACATTTAAAGGTTTTTCATGAAATCTAAAGTCCTTGGCAATTATACCATCGTCCAAGTCACTCAAAGTGTTATGAATGCATATTTATTCCAGGGATTATTCATGACATACATGTTACTTCGTTGTGTCACTAGAGAATACGTTGACCTACTGTCAGGAGAAAAACAAAGACCTTCTATTTTAACTTTAGTGAAAACACTTTAGAAGAAAACCACTTGAATTTGTCTGATTGATCCATTTGCACTACATAATGACCGTGGATTTAAAACACTCTTACTGAATTATATTATCACTGTAGGGGCACCACATGTGTCGTGAAAGGGATTATTTAATGTGTAAGCCCTGCCTTGACAAAACTGGATGTTGAGCATTTGAGCGGGTTTGCACTCAGGTAGTGCTGCACATTATTCCCCACACAAGACGGGGGACTGTTTTCCATAATAGCAAAACAAGTGTTTCTACACTGTATGAGTAAAGCTGAAGTGTTAAGCATAAATAACATGAACTAGAAGGGTCATTTGTTCATTTCAACCTGTTCCTCATTGTCTTCACTGTCAGCCAACATAGAAACCGGCCGGATGCAATACTAACTGACAAGACCCTGAAAAGCAATCTTTATCATCAAAGTGCGATGGACTGGTTTTTCTTGGTCAAAAACATATTTTTTAAGTTCACATATGCCTATATTTATTCTGCAGTTTCTATTTTATGTAAACATATACCAAGTCTCTAAATCAGTACAACAAATTCCTTTACAATTCCTTTTCTTTGTGCTTAAAGGATTAGTTTTTCATTTGTGAGAGAATTTTTGAGTGTCATTAACTTTGTAATCTTCCGTTTATCAAAAAGGATTTGGTGAATAATGAAACAAAAATAATAATAATAACATGAAAAACGACTGAATCTCTCTTCACTTTTGATTAATATCACAGAACAGACATGAGAGAAAGTCCGTCTCTCGGTCCAACATTTCACACGTTCTGTCTGCAGAATATATGCATGATTTATTTTACATAAAAAGGATCGACCAGTGTGAAGCTGACACTAAGAGGAAGAAGCGGACTGCACTATGAGAATGCCACCGTGACATGTTCTCAATGGCTTTCACCTGTTTAAATGTACATTTCCCCAAGGGGATGGACTGTACCCTTCCAACATTTATCAGGGGAAATGTGATTTTAAAATATAATCTTTTGAGGAGCATTATGACATGTACTCTAGTCAGATAAGGTTTTGTTCCAGCTGAGTTGTGAATCATTAGTGGGTCACATGCTTACTGATTAAATCCCCAATGCTCTGCACAGTCATGGCACAATGTGTTCTGTTTTCAACATCAATCCATATCCTGTAGTAAAAGTCCTTATGGGCAATGTGAGGATCATTCTGAAGAAGTGTTGCCTTGATTTGTTTGTACTGTAACTTGTCTTGAAAATGAATATCCAGCAAGAGAATAAGTAGGTAACCGATTAATTATAGATTACATTTAGGGAATATTGATAATCTGCTTTGTGCATATCTTTCTTTCTTTGCCTCCTCCATTTGTGCATTTTCTCAGATTCTACACTATGAATCAGAATAAGTGGAGACCAATAAACTAACTCAAATCCCTATTTGGTCAGACTGAAAACTGTCTTCCCCTCTTCCCATAAATAACGTTTGTGCTGGTGAACATGGGGGAATAGAGATCCAACAGAACATAACCTTGTTTGGTAACACAGTTCTTTAAGGCTAATGTGAGAAAAATAAAAGACTGAATTGTGCACAAAAGTCAAGAGACTTTTCCTCTTATTTCCATCCTCTCTTCCAGGCTCTCAGATTTATGTACCAATTGATGTGTTTCCATTCCTGTTCCAGACTTATTCTCACATTGTCACATCTTTGTACATCAACTTTTTCATGCACACAAAAAAGCAAAGTATCTAAAATTGGTGTCCTTGAGCAAGGCACAGGACCCTCACACTGCTGCCAAAGCGTTGTGTAAATAATAGTTGTCCACTGCTTGACAACTATTGGCTATATCCATTGATGAGGCTCTTAAAGTGCTTTCTGAGTTAGTTCGTTTATACAGCTGTTTCGCCTAAAATAGTTTGGGTGTTCAGAATCGGAAAGGGTTTTATTTAAAGGGTTGGTTTTGATTGCTGACAACCTGGAGGTACTATAAAGCATAAACTGAACCTCTACGAATAGACTGTAAGGGGAACAATGTCTTCTTTCTGGGTAGGTCAACCCATGAAATATACTATAAGCTGCAAGTGGAGCAGGATGAGGTTACAGGGTTCCTGGTGTATGTAATACAATGTATTATTCAAGTCAAGGATCAGAGTGAGAAAAAGGATTAGAGTTAGGGTACAGATTAGGTAACTGTACTGCTATCAGTTTGCATTCAAAGAAGAACGTACTGAATGCTTAGATAAAAACCAAACATAAACCACTAGCTATGAGACTGGATAGTTATCACAAGTGAATTGAATGTGGCAGGTTTATAGTGAATCTCTCAGGCGTTACCTTTAACTCTAAACTGCGGTAAGAAGCGGATGACCTCAATAACTAAATGGTTTCTCTTCAATGAAAAGCTCAATTCATTAGTCCCCCCTGCTCTCAGTTCATTTGAGTGTGAACTCTGGGTGTTACTCTAGCATCAGGCGTACTGTAGATAATGTAGAGCTGGAGTGCCCTGTGTGTGTGTGTGTGTGTGTGTGTGTGTGTGTGTGTGTGTGTGTGTGTGTGTGTGCGTGCGTGCGTGCGTGCGTGTGCGTGCGTGTGCGTGTGTGCGTGCGTGCGTGTGTACACAAGTTACTGCGTGTGTTGAGGTGATGGAACAGAACACCTGCAGAAACAAAATCAATCAAATTAAATGTAAAATTCCTCTGAAAGATGCTCAGTCCTGAACAAAATGTGCCATGTCATGTCCAGCAATGTGCAATGGAGATGGTACGATGTACCAAGACAATTTATCTTTTAGCTTTTAGCAGCTTGCATCAAATGACAATATTAACCAGTGACATGCTTACATATGACGAAGCCATGTGCTGGATTTAAGCATAGCAATGTCCAACTGAATACTTTATAGATAGTTGTATTGCTGTATGACAAAAGTCCATCACAGACTGCCCTATTTTCAACAGCACGGTAGAAATATATTGTAGCAACCTAGACGTTACAAAACCACCAGCATGTTCTGAAATGTAATGTCAAATCTTGTAAGCTTAGTTGTGATTGAAAGGACCTCCAGGAAAGGGCAATAATGACAGGGGGGAAATACAATTGAAGCAAGGAAAGAAACAAGAATCCAATGTGTATTTTCCTATGTGCAGAACATTGCTCTCCTGAAATGTATGTTTCTTTGTTTATCGGGGTTGAAACATTTTCATTTACACAACTGTACATACATTTTCTTGTATCCAGTGCTGTGTGAGTTATCACCAGGTAGTTATTGTGTGGTATATACATTGTTCATACAAACATTGACAATCTTCTGCCTCTGTGAATCACAGTGCCAGGTTATAAAATGTTTTCTCCTTTTCTCATGTACAGTACTTGATATTCACTTTCATCACAAGAGCCAACACAGGGTCAACCTTTGCTTAATTCGTGTTTTTTAAGATCTTGAATTTCTTCTTGCTTCCAACAGGGATTTGTCATTTGTTAAATAATCTCTCCTTTATAAAAAATGTTGACAGTTGTTGACATGGGGACCACTAATTATGTGCTGGAATAGTATTTATATCGATTAACGATATTACCCCGAATATAGATGGATGACAACATAGTATCTTTTATATTATAATGTTTCCTTTTGTCGATTCCTGGAGATCTTTTAAAGAACTTGTTCTTGCGTGTGAAACAAACCTCAGTTAGTGCAGCAAGTGAGATACTGTTTTTCAGTAAGAGGCATGAACAGCCTTTTAGTTGAAAAACCGTAACAAAAAGATGTTGGTTTCTTTGAGAGTAGTTTACCATATTAAACAGAAATCTTGTTCATAACGCTTTATTCAATCCATAACAAATGTTGTTTGGACATTTTGACTTCCACTTCCCAGATAAATCGAGAGAGCACGACCATTCATTACAAACCATGACAACGTGTTATTGAATCAGCTATTCAGTTATTTAATTTGGTTAGCATTTATCACAGCCTCTAGTTTTAGACAGGCAATTGTCACAGTGTACCAAATACAAATACAGGGAACATTTCTTGTTAATAATTTAAAAAAAGATGGTAGTGTATCCATTCAAATCTTATTTTATCTTCCCTAGTTTATTTCATGGCTGCAAAAATGTAATGGAAAGGTATACTCCTTTATACTCACCTACAATCAACTTCTCATCATATAACAAATGGTGATCTATACACTTTTTTAGTACTGTAAATTATTCTTTTATTTTCAGGGGATCTTAACGGAGATACAGTTTTAAGGCTTGATTAGCAGTCAGCTTTGGGATGAGCACACTCAGCCGTGATGGTTCCTGCTTGCTCGTCCCACTCCAGCTCTACCCAGGTCAGTTCCCATGCACACATGTAGATTATCTGGCTTCACTAACTGACACATATGCTGACATCACAGATGCTACACCGACATTTTCCTACAGGCTATGGTACACAGCTATTTTACACAAATGGTTCAACAGTCAATATGTGCTACGTTGTGTACAGCTGATGGTCAACCCCTCTGATTACCCAGTGGTAAATCCCGTAACGTATGTTTATTCACGTTACACAGGTGTGGATGTGCTTCATTTAGATCCCTTCAGACTTCAAAACGAAAATGTCACCATAACTAGTGACATTTTATTTTATTTTATCATAACAAATCCAAGATGCAAACTTCTGTTATAACTATAACATTGGTTTTGTTGTTTGTTAAGCGAGAGTAATTCAAATAGGCAGGCTTGAGCATGAGAAAGCACTAAATTGATCATCTTGCACTTAATGTGCTGAACTAAGAGAAATAATCCATTTCTTCTCTGTTGTAAAAGAAGCTCAATTTGCAGGCTGAAGTCCATAGGGATTTGGTTTGTGTCAGATGATAGTCAAATATGGTCACGCACAATACCACCAGCATTTTGGCTGCTTCACCGTGTCAACATGACTTTCATGTGACAAGTATCTGATTGTTCCAAATAAAGGAGCATGTGAACTAAAAGAAGAGTTTATAAAGATTAAATATTATGTGCAGCTTACATCTATGTCCCTTAAAACTACCAACCTTTAATCAGACTTTCAAAAAAATGTTTGCCTACAGACTGATAATACGTCACCAACAAGAACATGCCTCACAATTCCACAAAAACAAACAGAAGTGCTCTAGGGTCAAAACCAAAATCCTCTAAAAAGAAGTTTATCTCTGCTAGCTGCTGTGGGTCAGGTTCATGAAAAAGTTGTGATGACTCTTGATCCTTAGAATCACTCAATTCTTCCAGCAATCAAATCAGGATTAACATTAGAAAAAATAAATATACGATTTGGATCATCCCATGAAAAAAAATTCCTTCAAAGACCTCCATTACCCATAACTTTAAGCTTTTATCTCCTTTCACAGAGAACTTGTGCTTTGTAATATCCTCTGGTCGTTTGCTGTCGCCATATGTCCAAACGGTTTTTCAGAGCAATTCATCAACAAGTTGTTACATGAAAATAAAACATAAAACTTGGCAGGTTAGAGTTGGTTTGGAAACGTTGCCACTTAAATCATCTTGTGACTTGAAGTAACAATGTTTTAAGTCTTTTCCCACTTCCAGTCTATACAATGTCAGCCTAGAATTGGCAGAGCAAAATGTACTTTATTCTTTCAGTTTTCAACTGGTCGAGTTGTTCGTTCCAGTTGAAAAAATAGCTGAAAACAGACCTTCTTGTATTGAAGCGATTTCTTTTAGTTGGAGCAGGTGTTGATGTTCTTGCCGTCAGCAGCGTCCTCCACCAGAGCTAAGTGATAATCAGTGGAGAGCGTGAAGTGGGACACGCAGCCCACCAAGCCTCCAATGTACTGTCTGTTTGTGTGAAGGGCTATCTCTTTCATGCCACCTTCAGGGTGAAAAAAAGAAATTAAAATGATTGTCTACAGTCGATATAAAGCTTTTTGAGATGATCAGTTGTCAGCACCACCTACCAACATAGAGGGGGCCGTTGATATTGAGTTGTCTCATCTTTCCAGGTGACCGTCCTGTTTTTGCTCCATAGTCATCAACTGTCAGCTTCCCTGACGGGCCATCTCTGAAAACGTATCGGGAAGGTAAACCCAAGTAATTAAAAATGTTTTTAAAGTTTATCTTTGTCCTTGTATTTCGTTTTTTCATTTTCCACATGGTTTGAAAGTTGACCTGTTTCTGAATGTCGTGCACTGGAAAGAATAGCAGGTTTACCAAACACCTCTCCTTAAAACTAAAATAATCCATCTAAATAATATCAACAATCAAAGTACAATGTATTATGAGTAGGGGTTGCTTGTATGGGGATAACACATCGCATATTAATCAACTTTAAAGGTGATTTGTCAGAATGTTCTGCTGCCCCCAAGTGGACAAAGAAAAACCTTGGTGCAGCTTCATTTTCTGAGTTGTCAAGTGAAGTAAAATATATAGCAAGAGATCTCTTTAGTGAACATCTATATAAGAGGATGTTTTCATATTTATTTAGAGCTTACCTCACTGCTTTGACTCTGTGCCACTTTCCATCTGTGAAGGTCCCATTGACAGCGATATTAACCGAACCACTGCCCAGGTTATAACTAGAACAACATGGAAACACATACAAGGAGTTACAAGAGTTCACAGTGGGGATGTACCCAGATCCACACAAATAATAGGATGTACAGTAAAAGGATCTTTCTTTAATGGAAGTTGCTCATTATTATTAGCGGGGGCTGCAGGCTTTTTTTTCAAGAAACTGTGTCTCAGGGCTTCTTAACATTTAACAACCTATTAATGTGTCATACCCACTTAACGCGAAGAAACTCAGCTAACTGACGATATGAACCATTTTTACCGAAACAAAAGTCTCACAAGAAGCGTCTAAATGAGCAAAAAGATGCTAACGCACTTAGCACAGAACTCACGGTAGAAGCACTTTATTACTTATTAGATCTGCAGAAACAAGATATCAGATTAAAGCTGAGATTCCACAGATTCTAGAGGTATAAGTATCATCACTGTGCGACCAAAACTCGCGGCAGCTCAGGCAAACCCAGACAACACACAACGTAGCTTTACTGATATTCCATCAGCAATAAGCCTAGTTTTCAGTTTTCAGAGCTTAACATAGCTTTCGGTTTGGGCAAACTGCGTGCGCATCACTCTCACTCCTCAATGTTAACGTGTAGGTGGATTTAGGAACTTCCCCTTCGATTATATTGGCTCTAACGGTTCAAACGAGATGTCAATGACCAAAATCGACCAATGGGTTCCAGAGAAACGGTAAATACACCCCTTTTGCTGAACCTCTCTAAAAAGGTCAAATGTTACTTGTTTTGCATCAATCTTGATACAGGTTACTTATTATATGTTATAGTTTGGATTTGGAGGGTGGTTTTCACAATATGTTTTTTTTTAGACGGACACTATAATTAAAAAATCTTTACTATGTTCAATCTGAATTTACTTTAAAATTAAAAAATTATATATTGATTCTGACTTCTCTACATCCAACTCACAGGTTTATCATTGATTTGAGAAAAAAGATTATTAATTTACCCCTTTTAGAAGTGAAGATATAGTCATTTGTTCTGGGAATGTCATTTCGAGCCTGAGACCTGAAAAACAGGCTCAGGGCTTAAAAGGTTAAGGGGGAGTATTATGATGGAAATGTATGTGTGTCAATTATTTATTCAAATCACTTCATAGCATTTTTGATGGCCACAATATAAAATGCTAATTATGTCTTAACATAGTTCTTTGATTGATTTCCCTAATAATAATAATAATAATTGCTTTCTTTTAGGAGTACGTGTTTCATCCACCAAAATCAACAGCAGTTGAAATATTTTCTGATATAAAACACGCCCACACCTGGTCTTCTATCCAGATAAAGAAACAGACACATAATGAAGTCTATGTACACCTCAAGTGCGGTGGGTTGAAATTGTTCACCTTGATCACCTTTTCCAGATAAAGGTCCCTCAGCCTTCAGGTCTTTTTTTAGATCTTCCTCTACTGGGTGTTTAGCTCTCCTCCTCCTTTGGTGGGATCAGCATCCCTTTCCATAATCATCAACTTTTTCCTCACACTAACTTTCTTTGTACCCCCCTTGTTTCCTCAAAAAGACAGGAAGTACCACTGCGGCAAGAAGAACTTATAGTTGGACTAAAAATGTTTATTTGAATCCATATATTTCAGAAAGAATAAATAAAATACACTTTAATAACAGTTTTAATAGTGGTGTGATAGTGTCCCTCATGTTTTACAAACACATAGACAACAAATACCTGAAGATTAGTGCCCCATCCTGAAGCCCCATAGACAGGGAGTCACTGTTGGCTCTCATGGGACTGTCTCCTCTCCATAACAACAGGCCGTCGTTGGCTGTGCTCTTAAAACGCATGAAAAGGTTGGTCCTAGAACCAGACAACCTAAAAAACAGACAACGTTACCAGCAAAAGCGATTAAAACCAGAACTGTGCAGATAGTATAACGAACATCATTACAAGAACCTTAAAAGTATATCTATACATATCACAAAACATTTTGCAGCCCTTCACAGTCACTTCACAACCCACCTTTTCAGGATATCTCTGTTGTCATATGTCAGGTAACTTCGGCCAATGAACTGTGGGATTTCAATGGCTTCAGTCACAGCTGGGCAGAGAAAACATTGTATTTACTTTATAACATCACAAGGTGGCAGCATCAGCATGTATGAAACTAAGCTAGAAGACTAAAAGGGATTTTGGGAGGAGAAATGTACGAGGGGGAAACAGATGTAGGACTATGAGTTAAGTGAGGCGATGATAGGTTATGATTCATGTTTAAGTCATTGAAAAAAACTTACTGTTCAAACAGTAACTCCCACATTCTGTACAGGGAAAGCATTAAAAACAGAGAAAGCATAGATAGGCTTAAGGGATTAGGTATTCCAATATATCATTAAATATGACATTACATGAAGAGAGAAAACACACAATTAATCCCTGAGAGCAAAGATCATGCAACATAATTATATCAAAATATTACACACAAAAAGTGATCATTAACTTATTCACAGTTGATTAAGAAGAAAAAGTGAACTGCAAACCTTCTCACTTCATTAGACTGCCCCCATTTTATAAGTGCACTAGTCGTAGTATGTAAGGTATAAAGAAGACCCAAGGCAAAAGGCACATGCTAAAACAGCAAGTTCTGTAAAAAAATGTTATTATGCTTACTGTGCAACTATGCGACTGACCTTTCTGGCAGTGCTTCCCGTCGTACCCCAGGGGGCAGTCACACTCATAACCGTCCCACTTCGGCCTGCAGGACCCTCCGTTGGCGCAGGGACTCTCCACACATGGGTGAGCTGAATTTGCTACATTAACTCCACCAGCTGAGCCAGTTATTATTGGGATGGTGCGATCATTAAGTATCAGCTGGGGAAGGGAAAGGAAAGAAACAGAGAGAGACCAGATAGAGGAAGAGAGAGAGGTCAAGAAAGGGTTACACACTGAAATAGAAACTTGATGTCTAGTGATGTGAAAGAACCAAGTGTTTCAACTTTAATGTTAACTTTAAAGCATTTAGTCATTTCAACATTGTTCATAAATGTTAACTGAATTACCTTCTGAATAATTCCAGTGAAAGGCTTTATCACACCTGATGCCCTCTTGGTTTTATCGTATTCTGGCACTCCGCCAATATAAAGAGGTGAACTGCAGTTGATCTGGGTGAAAGCTCCCTATAGAGGAAATCGAACAAAAATAAATTAGTGATTTACAAAATAAATTAATGTAATTATGCCCTATTAGCAATTATGTACACTAAGATTAACGTTGTATATATGTTTCCCCTAAAACAAAAAAACATTTATGCCATTTTGATACTAATGGGTTAAGAAAGAAAAAAAATTGAAAATGTAATTGTGAATTTGACAGAAAGATCTTGTCCTATTTACGAATGTATTTCCTTGATTTGTCTTCATAATCTACTGTAAACACGTTATTTTCCTTGTTAAAAGGCTAAATCAATTTGCAAGTTTAAGCAAAATCGTTTTCAAATAAACAGAAGAACACATTAAAGAACATCTGAGATGTAAAAATAGTATGTGTACATGTTGGGCTGACGTTCAACAGGTGACTCCAATGGTACACCAATGTTGCTTGTCACCAACTGGATTTATAATTTGTCCAATGTTATTTACCCATACCTGCATAACCTAACCTTTTCGAAGTGTGTGAGTTTGTTCTGTCCTCTTGTAGTAAAAGAATGACATACTGCAGCTTTCCTCAACCCAAAAACAAAATACCTCAGTGATTCCTTCTATTGGCCTCTGGCTGTCCACCTGAAGGATGCCACTCTTTGCCGTGCGAGACACCCTCAGCTCATGCCATTTGTCCAGACTGATCTGTTCGTCACTCCTGTAGCACACACAGTTTCAGTCATCTAGTTTGAAAATATACTGAGAAAGTAAAGCAGACGGGGAACCGTTTAAGAATACATCTATGTAATACCTTATAGTAGCTCCTCCAGAGCCGCAGTCAAATCTGAACTCAACATATCCGTCCACAAGGTTGATAGCCAGGAAGTCTCCGCTGCCTGCGTCGTCACTGTACAGCAGCGTCCCGTCAGGCAACGACGGCCTAAACGTCAGCTCAAACTCCATGAAGGACAGATAACTCTGAAAGGACTGGGGCCATGGGATGACAGCATACGAAAACACCGTCTCATTGAAGAGAGGGGAGGACAGTGAGAAAGCTGAAGGGCGGAGAGAGGAAACAAGAACATATATAAAAAGGATAGAAAGACCAAAAAATGATTTGGGCCAAGAGGGAAGAAGAGGTGTGAGCACATAGAGATGATTAAGAGTGAAGAGGTGGAAGAAGAAGGAGTTGATGAGAACAAAAGCAAATGGAGAGAAAGTGGGGATATAATGTTTGAAACCTAGTCTCACATGCAATCAATCCCCCTGCCTCTATATAAAACATAATGATCCTCATCTCGAATAATTTTCCTTTATATTGCACTCAACTGGTCAGTAATTACTTTAAAAGGTTTTTGTGACAATCTATGACAGCTATCACAAAGGGATTTAAAGAAATGTGACTCTTGATAACAGTGTGTGTTTTTAAGTATGAGTAAATCATATTGAGTGGGTTTGAGAAATACAGTTGACTTACTCTCTTCACAAAGTGCTCCCCTGAAGCCGAGTGGGCACAGACAGATGAAGCCATCGGCACGGTTTGCAAAGCAAACTCCACCATTGGCACAGCTGACCAGGTCACACACACTGTCGCTGCACTCACCTGTTGGCAAGGGGGGGATTTAGACAGGGTTAGGGTTCTATTTATTATGATGCACTTTTTAGTTTTTGATGCAACTAAAAGCTCAGACCCCCATTTAGTATTAGTATTGTAGTATTTAGCATTTGTATTCTGCAAAATCCTCTTAGTTATTGTGCACAACAATTATCTTAGGTGATGACTACTTACAACATTTAGCTTCTTTTAAAAACAATAATATTAACATATTTGTTTGTCCTGTTTTGTTTTTGGTTAGAACTGTCAGGACCTTGAACAGAAGAATAATTGCTATCAAAACATGTCAATCTTTACGGTGAAATTACTCAAGCAAAAAACTGGGCGATGAAGAAATACTGTCATATATATTTAAATAGAGCCCTCTAACCTCATTACATTACTTATGTACAGAGTCCAAAATGAGTTGTTTCCCTCTCCAGAGTTGCTCCTAAACTACTTGTCTGAGCATCAATATCCAAGATGAAAACCAGTGCATTATGGGTAACATGGGTTAGAATCATATACTGCTGGTAGTATGCCTCCTCACCTATATCTGCTCCGCTCAGAGCCCTGCCCAGCGGCCAGGGTCTAATGTTTATCGCCTTGTTGTTCACGGTCAGACTCTGAATGCAGCCCAGAAAGCCGCGATTTGTCCCTGTTGCCCTGACCAGCCAATAAGCATTCGGGGATCCACCCACATACAGCGGGGAGCGGAAAGTGATCTTGGTGTACTGGCCCTGAAAGCAAAGAGTGAGGAGAACAAATTGTGCTTCATTACTGTAAAACCACTTTTGGTCCACTAGCTGAAAGGACTGAAAGGCAATATTGGCAGCAATGTTCCACACAAAATGCATCCAACCCACAATATCAAAATAGTTATACTGCAAAAAGCTTTTTCTTTTTTGAAGCCGTACTGCACTTTAATAAATTGATAAATAGGTCTTACGCAAACACATATATTATGTAAAAATAATACAAACATGTAAGTGATTATGTGTGTTATTGTTACCTCTGAGCGTCCAGATATTGGGTTGTCGTTGTCCATTCGCAGCCAGCCGCTCATGCCATCTCTGGAGAGAGTGACTGTGTGCCACTGACCGACCACGATACGACTCTCACTTATTATTTGAGCTGCTCCTGTACCACAGTTAAACCTGAGGGGAAAACGATCAAATGTCCAGTTGCCTAAAGTATGCTGACATTACACAAGGATGAGTGATTCTATTCAATTATATTTGCCATTTGTAAATACAAAATATACTGTATATTATTATCAGCTATATTGTCTATAGATTGAACATTTAAACACATCATTTTCTTTATGGCTTCACCCTTAAATCAAATGGGAATACAGTGTTACAAATGTCATCAATGTTATGCTAACAACCACATTAAGATGGTTAAAATAAATATTTTTCTTGAATGCTTTTGAAGAACCGCATTCATAAAATTCTTAGATTTCCTTAAATCACATATTTAACAATCCAGTCACTTAAAACCAGCAGTCTTGTAAACTTTATCTAAAATAATCTACTCCTTTCATTCAGTGAGTCACAGTTTTCTTCACCTGTAGTGCAGCTTGCCTCGCACCAGAGCCAAAGAGGTAAAGTCTCCACGTGCGTGTTCATTCTCTCCACAGTATAACAACAAGCCATCCTCAGAGTCGGCCTGTACCACCGAAAAAACTGGATTAAAGATCTGTTCACCCTAAACCATATATGGAAAATAAAAGATATGGTGCTTTACCTTGAACTCCAAAGTGATCTGAAAGGTCTGGTAAGAGTTCTTCAAGGGTTCAAAGGTCATGTGAGAGAAGCCATGGAACCTGGGAAAGTTCACGGATACCACTGAAGAGGAAAAAAAGTCATGATAAGTTTATTTTGGGAGGGATAAAAGACGAAAGTATTATAAAATTGATAGTTGCCTCTTTAGCATCACCACACTTTTACTAAAGCTTGAACTCAATTACACCTCCCTCACCATCAGAGCAGTTGTCCCCTCTCCGTCCGAGGTTACAGTGGCAGCGGGAGCCTCCGCTGTCGAAATCGCTGAGACAGAAGCTGTCGGGGGGGCACACAGTGTCATCGCAGGTCAGCTCGTACATACGAGGTACCTCACCTTTCCAGGGGGATAATGTTGGGGCGGTAGTGGTGGTGGGAAAAGGGTTGCTAAAATCAGAAGAGAAAGAAAGAAGTTTAGTGATGTTACAGTATAGTCAGTGGTTTAGCAAATAATGATATTTCTATTTTAAAAGCAGTTGTATAATGTATCTATCAGCACTTTCCTAAGTTTTAACTAAAAATTATACCTTTTTTACATGCAGTACATCACAACCACAATGGCAGCTTTAATTGGTGTGACATTTCACTGCTCTATTCTCCATCTATTATCACATAATTAAGTGTAAGAGTATACAAAAAACGGTAGGTGGATCTTTGGAGAAAATAAAAAAGCCAGAAGAGACAATCTAGGAATCCAAGAGCAAGAGGATCTGCATTAGGAATCGTGATTTTGCTGAGATAAAAGAAAACCATCCTCCTGTTTTTTGTTCAAACATTAAGAAACATAAGGAAATCCTTTCTTTAAAAGAGAGGCCATAACGACCTCCAGCTGCTGATGAACATCAATAGTATAATCAATGTAAACCCTTCAGTAAAATCGATTATCAAGGTAAAATAAGGAGCATGACATTATGCCTTCACATCTTCAAGTAAATTGTTTGAATGTCATGGTCCCTAAACCATTAGGACATTGCTTGTATGTGTGTGT